GGGGGACAAAAACTGGTGTAATGCATCTAGAAGCAGAGGACACCAAGGAATTGCCTGCCATTACTAGAAGCTAGGAAGGGGGAAGGAAAGTTCCAGGTATAGTCTCAGAGAACTTAGTCCTGGTGATACCTTGATTTGAGCCTTCAGACCTGTGACAGAATGAATTTCTGCTGTCTTAACCCACCTGTCTTTTTTGCTGTTTTGTCCAGGCAGCCCTAAGGAGCTAATACAGTTGCTTAAACTGTTTCAATTGTACTATAATCTTTAGCTTTCATTTTGAAAATTATTATGCATTCATTCTGATATAAAACCTCTACACAGAATAATAAAGTATATAAATCTGTCAGTCTAGCCAAAGTGTTCACTGAGCATACACAATTTTCTCCTTCTGTACTGAACACATATTTTAAACGTGAATTTTTCTGTTACGAGGAAATTGTTTTGGGAAAAAAGTATTTCAGAGATCTCAATCTGTGGCTTTAGTGTTCAAGCAATTTAATCCAATCAATGTGTCTAATGGACTAAAATTATTAACAAACAATACATAAGCAAATCAGTCCTTTAAGTCTCAGAAGAAATTCTCTTAGTAAAAGGTGAATATAACTAAATGTAATGTCATATTAATGTGATTAAATCATTGATAACTACATTTTCAGTAAATTTTTAAAATCTCAAAGACTCTTGGGCTAGCCTGTGGAATGGGGGTTGAGACAGTTGGATCCGACATGACCAAGCCAGACTCAAAGACTTGAGAAATATGCTGGGCACATGTTGTAATGCCCAAAATCCTGAAAGGAGGAGGAAATGGAGAAGAGAGTGAGACGTGACCATTCCCTATGGAGTATGGGGTGGTGTTTTCCCACTTTTTCATTCTCTCTCTTTGTTTCTCCAATAAGTGCATGTGCCCTCTGGTAAATAAAAAGAAAATGTTTAAAACCTCAAAACTCTAATTTTTCCATTTCTAGAGAAAAGTTTCCGAGTGAATAGTTGGTGTCCTATTTTTTATTATGTTGTACCTATGAAAAGGAGGGACAGCTTCTTCAAGATTCTCACAGTGACTAAAGTAAAGAGGGACTGGAGAGGCCAGCAAGTGGAACGGTAGTTACGGTGCTGGACTCCCACATGGCCAACCACCATGTGAGTTTTGGACCTGGCAGCTTGAAGATCATGCCATATATGTTTGCATGTGTGCCTAAAATCCCAGAAGGGAAATGGAGAAGGGATTGCTTCTTGGTTATTCCCCCAGGGGGTGATTTTTTACTTTCCCTCTCATTGTCTCTTTCTCTGGCAAGTGCCGGTACTATATGACAAAAACTTTAAGGTTTTGTTTTGTTTTGTTTTGTTTTTTAGAGGTTTTTGCTAAAGGTCGTGTGCTCTCATCAGAAAGACAGAGAGAGATAGAGATACAGAAAAAAGAGAAATCACCCCCAGGGGGGATGGCCACACTGCAATCCCTTCTTCTCCTTTATCCTCCTGGGATCTTGGGCATGCATGCACATGTGCCCAGCATGAGTTTAAGCCACCAGGTCCAGGACTCGAACTGTGGTCGACTACATAGGAGTCCAGCCATTATGACGACTGCTGGTTCTAGCAAAAAAAATTTTTTTTTAAAAGTGACTGGACACATGTCTTTTGGCAAACAAAAACAGAAATAAAACAAAGAGTGACTAGAGGCCCACCACAGTGCTGAAGGTGGGAAGACTTCACTGCAAAACTGGAACCACATAGTAGGCCCAGGATTAGAACCAGGCTGTATTTGAACACACCAGGTGAGATCCAGGCTGGCTGACACCTGGGAGAATGACTAGATTGCCATATGGCATGACCCTGCTAGGGCATCTCTCTCTTTCATCTGAAAGAAATGAACTTTAATAAATGAAAGATTAGAAAGTTGAATTTTTTTTGAGGTTCTTAAAACTGATAAAAAGAAATCATATAGATTTATTTTCCTGGGAAATATTTATGTAATTTAACTCAATAGTACTCATAATACTATGCATCATGACATGTACTAAAGACTACAGAAACCAAAATAAATGCAAACAATCCCCTGTTCCAGGCTCACATCTCAATAGGATTGACAAGAATGTGAGCAAGAGATAAAAATGTGATGTAATGAGTGCTATGAAGTAAATTTGCATGAAGTATTCTAGAAATAACGATAAGGAGCTGTTCATTCTAACGGGCATGTTTTGGGGAAATTCAGATGGAAGAGGTTAACTATGAGGGAGAGCTTGGAAGATGAATGGGAATGAACTGGTCAGACACTGCGGAGAAGTCCCTGACTGACAGAGGAGAAGAGTGAGAGAACAGAGAAGTCAGAAAGACAATGTCTCCGGTTGCCACTGGCTATGCATGATCTTAACATCAACGAAAAATGCAAAACCAGTAAGTAAGAGCCATCATTTATTGAGCCACTTACATTTAACAGACTTTGTCAGGGTATAGAAGTATGTAATGAACTGTAATTGAAACTGCCACCAGTTCCTTCTTTAATCTCCAGTGACTGAAATTTATATGAAAAAGAAGGTATAAATACCAACTAATGTTTCTGTTTTTATATAAATGAAGATTGAAATAGGTCTTTTAAAGCAAATTGTTCATTCGTTTGGGAAAGGCAAGATTGTGAGCTTTTTCATTATGCAGATAGAACCAATGGACAGAGATGGAGAAGTTTGAGATGATGAAGGCATAAGCTGCTCTATGGGATGTGAGAACACTGCTTTCACTGAGGGTTGGATTTACTGCTAGAGATGCTTGCCTGAATTATCTTCTCTCTATGCTAGGAAAAATTAGAGGTTCTGGATATTGGATGGGAGAGAAACAGTAGATAGCCTTTTGGGTGAAGGCCAGCCCTGGCACCATTTCAATGGTAGGCTAAGGATGGCAATGGTTGGGAGGAGACTCTCTAACCATTTCAATGGTAGGCTAAGGATGGCAATGGCTGGGAGGAGACTCGCTGGTACAAGATATGGTCTTACTCTAGCAAGTCATGCCTGGTCCCTGGTTTTAAACTACTTTTTGCTCTCAGGGATTTCTAAAATGCTAGCCCTTTTTACTATCACTAAGTTTTCAGTTGAGTTTGGTTAAACATTGAAGTTGTTCTTACTTGTATTGTGTTTTAGGATTACTGTAACAAAGTACCACAACTGAGTGGCTTTAATAACAGAACTGTATTGTCTCAGTTGTGGAGGTTCTAAGTCCAAACTCAAGCAATTCTGGTTCCTTTGGAAGACAATGATAGACTTGTTCTGTGTCTCTCACCTTGGCCTTTAGATGGCCACCTTTACCCTATGTCTCTTAAATCAGCCCATCACATATATTTCTGTGCTCCATGTCTGAAATTTCCCTATTTAAAAAAAAATAATTTTTTAAGAGATAGGGTCTCTCTAGATCGTGCACTCAGACCTTAAACTTGGGATCCTCCTGCCTAAACCCTCTGAGCAGCTGAGATTATAAGTGTGCAACACTACACCCAGCTTGAAGTATCCATTTTTGTTTTTTGTTTTTATTTCTTTTTTGGGGTGGGAGAGGTTTTTGCTATAGGGCTCAAGCGCTTGCCAGAAAGACAGAGAAAGACAGAGAGACAGAAAGAGAGAAATCACCCCCTAGGGGGGATGGCCATGCCGCAATCCCTTCTCCTCCATTCTCCTCTCGGGATCTTAGGCACGCACGCACATGAGCCCAGTGTGAGTTTAAGCCACTGGGTCCAGGACTCAATCTGCGGTCAACTACATGGGAGTCCAGTGACATAGCCATTATGCTAAGTGCTGGTCCTGAATTATCCGTTTTTATAAGGACACCAGTCATATGGGATTATTCTACACCCTAATGACCTCACTTTAACTCGGGTACTTATAAAGACTCTGTCTTCACTTGAGGTCACATCTTAAGGTACTGATGGTTAGGACTTCAACATATGGACTGGAGAGAGGGCCCGAATCAACCTATAGATGTGCTTGGAGAACTTCAGTGAGAAGTCTATGTCTGCACTGTGGGAGTAGTTATATGGGCTGTGGTTTGGAGAAGCTGATAATAAAGCCAGTTAGTTCAGAGACACTGTCTAGGCTGTGGTAGCTTGGATGGATTTGTAGACTGTGAAACATTCCTACAGGGATTTCTAAAAATGCTAGAGAGTGAAATCCTAGCAAAACTTGTATTTCCTGTTGTCAACTGAGTTTGGAGCTCGGGGCATTATTATTGAGGCATTGGTTATTTATGCTGAAAAAGTTAGATACCATGGTTACGAGTATCATCCTCCACAGTTTACATTTATAAAACTATAACTCAGACCAGTCAAGTTGATTCTCTTAAGACTCCACTAGAATGCATGGCACAGGCAGGTATCTGCCTCAGTATTTCGGGGCTCTAAGACAGTGGTCTTTCTCAAAGGAAAGAAAGAGAAGTACATTTGAAGATAAAAAATTAATTCAGTGACATAGCCATTATGCTAACTGTGGGTCCCAGCATTCTAGTTTTAAGACTTGGACTTCTCATCTTTTTCAAAGAAAAATGAGCACTTGAACCAGCAGTTAGCGTTAGTGAAGCGTCGCTGGATTCCCACGTAGTCGACCGCGGTTCGTGTCCCGGACCCGGTGGCTTAAAACTCACGCCGGGCGCGTGTGCGTGCGTGCCCAAGATCCCGAGAGGAGAATGGAGGAGAAGGGATTGCGGCGTGACCATCCCCCCTGGGGGGTGATTTCTCGCTTTCTGTCTCTATGTCTCTCTCTGTCTGTCTGGCGAGCGCACGCGCCCTACAGTGAAAATCTCTCCAAAAAAAAAAAAAAAAAGAGCACTTAAATTCACTCCTGCTCATAGTGAAGCAAGGTTGGCATGGGTAAGACATGCCTCTGTATCCAGAAAGCAGAGTCTTGTTTTCAAATGTGTTTTTTTCTCATTTGTGTCAATAACCTTCTCAAGCATTTGTTATCATTTAAGCTATTCACATTCCTCTGTACGTGGAAACCTAACAACCAGTATAACACAATGGCATCACCAACCTAGGGAGGCTTATTTCTACCTCTTCTTCTTGCATCTCAGAAGACCATTTCAGGATTTGGTGAGCAGTAATTCTTCCTTCCAGTCCTTCTATGTTCATGTCTTCTGCAGGAAGTATGATGACTAAACTAAACTCATCACCTTTGTAAGGCAATTCCAATACCTGGTAGTTCATGGAGAATTCAGAAAAATAACCTAGAACAGAGAAAAGAGATTTTAAATGTATCTGACAATTCCCAAAGCCATGCTCTAGAGAATGCGGTTTCTTCTATTACCATATTTTGTCTTCAGAAGAGCCTTCATCATTGGAATTTTGACGGTTGAGCCATCTTTCTTAGTAAAATCTGTCAACTGTGTGTCCTCTTTTCTGAATTTCTGTTTCCAGTCCCCTTTGAAATAAATAGCATTCACCAGGACTAGCCGAGTCAGAGGGCCAAATTCTTCCCCAGAAAACATGTCTTTAATTTTTCCTATGAAGGAGGTGGTGGAGGAGGCAGGAAGAAACATGCAATAGTGATTCAGTGGAACTGCTTTAAATAGGATAAAAGCAAAAATACCTTCTGCAGATCAGTTTTGGACAGGGTGTCTTATTATCTAAATCTGTCAGTTTTGAGAGCAAGGAGGAATCAAGTTATTTTTCTAAGCAATAGGTGCACGTAGGATTTCATTAAAGTACAGGAAATATGAGACTACTTGAGGCAAACTTGGACTATTCATGAACTCTCTTCAATGGTATTATTTGCATCAATTATCTTTCTGTCAGAAAGAATAAAAAAACAAAATGTCTCTTCTCGTGTATTTATTGGTATTATTCAGACTTTAAGGTTCTTTGGCAGGTCGATCGTAACTGGAGGGTTAATGGTACAAACACGTTGCTCTCACAATTACAGCCACTGACCATAGAAAGGGACAAGAATGGAGGCTGCAAGGATGATTTCCTCTTCTAAACACCTTATTTCCCATTCCCACAGCCACGAGCTCGGCTGTTATGAGAATTAAGTGTGACTGGTGCCCCAGAGCTCTCTAGTGATGACCTCGTTTCGAAGCCCTGTGAACACTGCTAACCACACCCATCTCATTTTGCAATATATGCTTCCTCATAGGAGGCTCCTCATAAAAAATATAATAGCGTCTTGGACCGAGACATTGTTTTGGTAGTGGAATAGACAAAGTAGTTTGCTTAACTAATGTTCATAAAGGGTCTGGTGAATGCTTGTCCCTTTACATATTGAGTCATCAGAAAAGTCATGACAACTGTTTGCACAGAAAAACAAAGAAGATAGTTCATGACTCTTCCAACAACCCAATATATTATAACTGAAAGTTCTGATCATCTTAAAATGTATCAATAGTATTCTCATTTTAAAGGGATCCTAGCTTATAACTTTCCAGGAGTCGAACTCAGCTCTCTGTGACCTAAAGCTTATTTTCTTTCTATTTGCCTCACTGTAGTTGCTCTGGGATTTTTGTCACTTTGTAAAGTTTAGCCTAGCATGTTTATGATAGGACTATTCACATTTACTTTTACACATTGTCACATTTGACCAAAATATATTCATTATTTACAGTACATATGGGAAAGAAGGCAACTTGGGACTAACAGATCTAACTTCTTCCTGACCAAAATATTATTCCAATTCCTGCCTTAATATTTGTTAAATCTGTGTTTAAACAAGAATTATTATGAAAATTCTTCTATTAAGAATTCCACAAATAGATGTCTCTCAAAAAAAGAAAAAAAAAAAAAAAAGACCAGTACAATAACCAGTGTATTTGTCAAAGCCGCTTACAATGTCTCTCAGTTTTCCAATATAGTATTAATTTAAAATAACAGTGAAGTGAAACAGATTTGAACCCTCTGGTCCAAAGTGTAATAGAAAATATTTAACTATTCCTTACTTAATATTAAAACCATAAATACAATGGCAAATAATGATTTCATGAAAATGGGGGGAACTTTACCATCTGTTTTGCTTTCTACCCAGGTACTTATGGTCCGAGCACAAGCCTTTGCATCCTGAAAATCCACCAGTTTTATAGCACTCTGAAAAAATTCCTGGTTGCCATGGAGATACTGTTCTTTCACAGTGAATCCTTCTTGAAGGTAGAGGGCATTGGCAAGATTAAATGTAAATTCTTGTTTTTTCTCTGCGATGGCAGAGAAAAATGACTTCAGCCCAGAAAATTCTTCTCCTAAAAAATAATTATAATGTATACTGACATATTGAACAACATAAAAACAACAGCTTTTCAGCTTTGCTATCTAAGTGCCCTGATTCATATCTCCATTTTTGCACCCTTACATATAACAATTCTTTCTAAGTTAGTAGAAATATTTTAAGCATTTATCTCCCATAGAATATGTATTTTGTAGAGAAATCAACTTTTATATAAGAAAAAGGATACCCACGTGGATTTGAAATTTGTCAAAAACAAGAACATGCATCTATGTAAGTTGAAGTAAACTCTCTCATTTTCAGTTGTTGGAAATTTATACTGAGAATCTTATTCTCTGTCAATACAAAGATGAGATACTTATGAAAGAGAAATGCTAATGAATGCTCACAGAGGCTTTGACAATGATGAGCAATCCTTTCCAATGTTACTTTATCTCAGCTTAAGAAAGAATTGTTCTCTTCTGAGCAACTGCACCTGTCCAGGTCTTCAAATTTACAAAGTAACCCCTATAATCATCTCTGGAAGTGCATAAGAATCAGAATCGCCTATTTCTTCGGGTTCATCAGTCTATATACTTTAGCTTTGACTCGAGCAATAAAAATCTTCAACCATTTCACCTATAAACACTAGTTGAATGAGTCAGAGTCAAGTAAAAGAATCATTGCTAACCTATTATTATTATTATTATTATATTTTAGTTTTTATGGGGCATGTGTACTTGCCAAAGAGAAAAACAGTGACAGACAGAAAAAGCGAGAGATTACCCCCCAGGGGGGGATGGCCATGTTGCAATCCCTCTCTGCCCATTCTCTTCTTGGGATTTTGAGCATGCCTGCATACATGCCTGGCATGGTTTTCAAGCTACCTGGTCCAGGACTCAAACCATGAAATCAGCCATGTGCTATCCAGCTGCCTTAACCTCCATGCCAGCTGCTGGCTCTTAGCCTATTATTTATTGTTGAATTGTTCTGACCACAGTGTTGCCAGGAAAAATATGGGAGATACCATATACTCTGATACTTTGCTCATTAGTTCCCTGTTCATTATCGAATCATACCAATATTTTTTGTTTCCTTTCATCTTAACCTCAGAACTCAGTCATTAAGTCTGGGAACTCTATTTCACATAACAAGCTTTTGCGGGCCTTGTTTATATTTTCAGTTAAACATGGAAAATATTTCTTTTATAACTTAAACCTTGATTAGATTCAATTAATCTCTATTGAAGAAAATATAAATGGTTCATGATTAGAAGATACCTATTGAATAAAGAGGTGTTTGTTTTAAAGTATTACTGAGAGGAACTTGCTCCAAAGTATTTACTGGAAATTAAACATATAAGTGTGTGTGTGTGCAAACAGACACACTTTTTATCAGAGAAGTAGCAGGCCCACCCAAGGGCGTATTTGTGCACATAAGAGTGTCCTCTTGGGGCCAGCAGTTAGCATGATGGCTATGTCGCTGGACTCCCATGAAGTCGACCACAGTTCGAGTTCTGGACCCGGTGGCTTAAAACTCATGCTGGGTGCATATGCGTGCGTGCCCAAGATACCGAGAGGAGAATGGAGGAGAAGGATTGTGGTGTGGCCATCCCCCCTTGGGGGTGATTTCTCGCTTTCTGTCTCTCTCTCTGGTTAGTACACGCACCCTATAGCAAAAAACTCTCCAAAAAAATAAAAAATAAAAAAGAGTGTCCTCTCTGGGGGACTGGAGCTCCATGGACTTCCATCTTATCCAGCTGAGGAAAGCTACAATACCTTTCAGCCCCTCCTTGCCTCCCTGAGCTGGCATTCTTGCTAGGGACAACCCTCACGGTCCTGCAGGAGGCTCCACAAGGTGTATTGCATTATATTTCAAATTCTAGGATTCTCTACCCCCCTGGGATGTAGATCCAGACAGACATAAACATTTTTAGATATAAAAAACTTACTGCTATATGATTAAACCTGAAAATTTTCAGTAATTCTTTAAAATGTCGGAATGCCTTGTATAAGGAAGGGAAGGAAGTTCATCTATTTTACTTGTTTATGCAATAATTTCACAGGCAATGTTATTGCTACTTGAAGCCTGAAAGCCATCATTGCAGTAGCTGGAAGGCTACAGACTTCCTGAGTAAAGACATGAGGGTATCCCAAGAGAATTAATTAAGGTCAGAAATGAAGTGACAAATTTGAAACTAATTTTCCGGAATTTGTAATTTATGAATATCTTTAAAGGAATGGGGAAAAAAGAGAGAGAGAGGGAGAAAAAATAGTCTCAACTCATTTGCCAGAGCAAATAGATTTATGTCATGTACCTAAGGTCTAAAGCTGCATGGCAAACGCCTGCCGTTTGAGAAATCACTGGACGCGGAAGGCAATGAGAAAGCGTAACCATGTAACACATTGGGCGGAGTATATAAAGCTCTCTGCTTCGTTCATTTGGTTTAATTTACGTATTAATGATTTCTTCTTAGCACATATCAAAAAGAGTACGTATGTGTGGCTCTCAATAAACAACAAAAATAAGTTTATCTCATTTCCTAAACTAAAGCCATGGAGGACCAGACGGTCCTTGTACCAGACCTTCAGAAAATGTCCTTATTTCGTACGTGTTCTCTGACCCTGATGCTAAGATTCCAGAGGCCAGTTTTGTGTGAAGATCTAAAGATGAAAACAAAGACAGTCATAGAATTATAGATTATTTCATCAAAGAGACTATATACATCGCCTAATCCAAACTCCACTTTTTATAGCGAGGAATCTGAAATCGAGAGTGATGCAGCTCGTACCAAATCAAAAGTCATTCACTTGCAGAGCTGGGACAATAATCCCTGCCTGGTTCTCTCTCTCTCTCTCTCTCTCTCTCTCTCTCTCTCTCACACACACACACACACACACACACACA